TGGATCAGAGTTTTCTTCTGAAATACTTATCAATACACAGACCTCCTTACAGCTTGTGTCCACATAGCGTTATTTTCTGGCAGAAAAGCGCTGACTGGAGAGACTGGAGAACTGGGATGAAGTGCTTTTGCAGTGAGAGAAAACAACGCTGCATGTGGATTTTGTTTCTATGGTTACAATAGCTTGACAATTTCGTTATGAGCTTAACAAGCATGCTGTGGTTTTGTAAAACAACACCTGCAAACATCGAGAGTGGAAATATCGCTTTTCTACTTTCTGATGTTTTACGCGCCATCTCACTTCACCCAGTTCAATGTCTCCACTGCAGCCGTCTGTGTGTGTGTGTGTGTGTGAGAGAGTGAGTGAGTGAGAGAGAGCTGAGCCCCACCCTCGACCAGACAAGCCGCGGAGAAAGACAGAGTAGTTACCCTGAACATAAACGACAGCAAATGTGGTAGAGAACTATCAGTACAGTTTCCCCCCTGCCCCCCCATTTGTTTCTTCTCTGTCTCTATTATGATAGTTTCTGTCTGACGTATCATAAAGCTCAGGATAGACAGACACGGCCAGAACAAGCTTCACCTCAATTTTCTTGGTAACCAGAGTGACGAGCCCCTCATCTAAAATACTATTGGCTGCCTGAAAAGAAGCACCATGATGACACCAATGCCTTTCTGAAAAGTTCAGAGATTTTCAACTGGAAGCGTTCGGGGCAGCCACACGAAAAAGGTAGAGTGCTCTGAAAAGAGACTGTGAGCAGGGCTGTTTCTCTATGCGTCTGCATATGCCCTCTCCTCTTTGGAACAACTGGTGCTCAGAAAAACGGGGATAAAGGGAATTCGAATGACATTTAATATCATTCTCATCGTTCATACTTTATACATGCTGTATAAACTGGCATGTCCTATTTGCAAGTGATTAAAGTCAGTCATATAACCTACACATTTCAGGATAATTAAATAGTTGGATACAACAAGATTTCATGTCCCTAAAATGACCCTTTCATCCCCTCCGTGGCAGACCATTAGAGAAATGCTTATATAAAAGGCCTTTTCTAAAAACTATTGAAACCAGGAGGAATACTAATGTGTGGCTGTGTGGCATTAAGCCAGAGCTGAAGCTGCCTAATATTTGGGCTTCATCACAGTAAGTTGTAGTGAGTCATTGAAACTGTAACTCACGCAGTACTGCTGCCGCTGATCATACTTCCTACATAGGCTAGTAGAGATCTACAGCACCAAACCACACTGGCTTCCTTTCATCTATGTATAGTACATGCAAATAGAGAAAAATAAAACTAAATCACTGCACTGTTGACAGCAATACTCAACTGCCCATTTTCATATCTACAACTAATTATGATTAAGATATTGTAACCAACTAACAAAATTGCCCTGCCGTAGTGTGTGGTAACACTTACTGATATTGTGAATAAAAGCAGGAGTAGGGGTGCAAAGTGAAAGACAGGACAGATCTTCTTGTACGCTGATGTGAGAGCTAGAGATAGCGACAGCCACCATCTCCCAGTGATACAGAAAATGGTGAGACATTAAGGATGCTACATACAAGCGAAGCCTTAACACGGGCTTGCTTTCTCATGAGAGGGACCCTTTGTGCTAAGAGCAGAGCTGTTTAGTATTAGCATCAGCAGACAGATAGCACTGGTGATGGGAGCAAAGGAGCCACTATGAACACACTGCACCTCAGAAAAGTTCTCTTTTAGATGTACTACTCCAAATGCTTTTGTACAGCCTGCTGTACAGCATCGGGTATAGAAACTGTCACCGTTCTAAATAAACGGACTTGTTAGTGCTGTTCATTAATGCTCATCTGTTTCTTGAGCATGCTCTAGTATTTGTGGTAATGTTGCCAATTGAGAGAGGGATTTAGTTTAGTATTATTGACGTTTAAACAACCGTTATGTAACCAAACATCTAACTGGTCTAAAAAAACAGAGTGCAAAGAGCAGAGTGAGATAGGGAGCAAGAGAGACCAAGCTGGTGTGGGTTTATTTAGTTCAAATTTCATTGAAGTAACTATGCAATTAGCATTAAAAAAATGTTTGGCAGCCACAAAGGTAGCGGGCACACACAGCTAACACCAGGCTAACCAATAGCATTGTTTAAAAGGTATCGGTAGGTGGATCTTCAGTACTGGACCAGGCCATTTTAAACTTTTTTTAAAGGATGGTTTCCCATTTTATGCCACAATTTTTGTGAAATCCTGGTGGGACATGAGAACTATTTTGAAAATAACCATCGGATCACAAATCATTGCTAGTTGATTACTAAAATGACTTTCAGTTGTGAAGCGTGGGTCCACCGGTGTACCAGTGTGTTTTGGCGAATGACAGGAGCTTGTTTCATCCTGTTTCTCATAAGTTACCTGAGGGGAAACATTCAGACTTGAGACTAATGTATGAGTACTGTGAGGAGGAACAAAAGAGGAAAAAAAACAGGATGAAAGAAATGAAGAGGGGGATGGTATTTGACGAACATTGGGCCGACTCATTCTGTCTGAAAAAGTGAACTTGTCCTTTGGGCAAAGCAGCCAACAAATGATTCAGATGAAATGTGGACAGCGCTAGAGGCAACATTCATGCAGGCTTTCCTTCCCCAGTTCAGATTCATTCTTAGTCCAAAGAAACTTCTCAAGCATTTTTGTAGCTTTTAAGGTTGTGTCTTTTACAGTATGTTACCTACAAGCTGGTTAAAATGTTCTAGCCGTACACATAGTGGCATTAACGACATCTGGTAATGTATGTCAGATGGGGCTGGCTGGCTCAAAAAAAGGATATTGCTTTATCTATAATTACAAAATGAATTGCGTCACACTGATGAGTGTGGGTTTTTTTCAGCCACATGGTGCCAAATCATACACAGGACAAGACTGAATCTGAAGAATTAAGTTTTACAGATGAGTTTTTACTTACATAAAATGACCTGTTCAACTTAATGATTTCAATTCAAAGGAAAAAAAGGCATTTCCTATTAACATTTTGGCTGGAACTCTGGTAAAAAGCTTGAGATGTTCCAACAAGACAGCTAGCTGTTAAAATTAGAGCAAAGGTACAGTACTTCCTCTTCTCATATGCAAATTTAATAAGAACTCATATTTAGCTCAGCGTTTCCTAAGCTGACTTTCAGTCCCTCTCTCTCCCTCCCTTCTAGGCCCCCCTGGTGAGATAAGAAATCTTTTCAAAACTCTCTACTCAAATCTCTTATTCAGGGGGGAAAAAAAACACTCATCCCCTGATAGAACAGCCAACCCATCCACAACAGCTGACTTCTTTATTATATGATAGTATAAAATCAAGCTACTTCACCACAGTGATGCTAACTGTGGTAAACTACACACCGATACTTGCAGAGCGACAGTCTCGTCTCACATGGACTGAAAGCAAAAGCCCATTCAGAGTTAAGATCAAGATCCTGTGCGAGGAATACGACAGAGAAACTATTTTGGAGGATGTTTATTTCCTGCTCGCTGATGATCCCTTATTACTAGCTACAGTTACAATAGCTACGGCTACAGTGGAGCCTTCTCTGGTTCCAGTCTGCATTCAGCAAAATCAGTCATGGGCTTGGTTGCAGTGTTGGCCAAGTTACAGGGAAACTGTATTTAGCTGCAGTTACTAGTTACTTCTCAAAGGTAATTGAAGTACTTTACCAATTACTCTGAAAAAGAAATGAGTTACTATGGAAAGTAATTTTTGCATTACATAAATTAAATGTCTTTAAATGTCTTACTCGTGCATACAGCTGTGAGCTTTAAGTGTCGCTGTTAGACAATTTTACCTAGTTGTTAGTTTCTCTATAATACGTTACTTCCAATACAATGGGAGTGGTGACAACATTCATTTTTTACATTGGATAGATAACTTTGAAGGAACAAGCTACGAAATTAATCTTAAATAAAATATATGATAAAAAAAAAGAAAGATGTGATGTGTTGTTCCATCAACCTGCATGTCTTACAAGGCAGATGTTGCCCGTAAAAACAATTTATTGTTGTGAGCAAAACAGGATGACAGGTTACACTGAAAATACACAAAGCTGTGTGGTCCGTTAGAAATGTATCTTTTACAAAAGGAGCTATTCACTCTTTTATCAGCCAACAGCTTAAGAGCAGTGTTTCTGAGAATCATCTTAACTGTAGGCGGTCCTTTTTAGTAAAATAAGAACTGACCTTAAAGCTGTGGGGAGAAAGAGGACCTCTTAAACTCATGTATCATCAAAAGGATCTTTTAAACTGAGTATATAACTAAACACATTTTCCTAGAAAATAAGGGAACATGACGGTTTATCTAATTGTTCACCTCTGCATGCTGCCCATCCTGACTATGACAGGGGGATTACGATGATTGCATTTAAATCCAAAGAGAATCACTGTGTATGAAAATTGCAGTATGTACTTTCTAATATCTTGGCTATCTCATCAAGGTCGGAGAATGACATGCATGCTTTTCAGGCAACCAGAAAGCACAAGGCTTTGAATAAGCTGCTCATGCCTGGGGATCTGGATGAGCCTGAGGTTTCAGAAAGCACTTTAGAAACACATGCATTTCTCCTTCACAACACTGAAGTGCCATACAATGGGTCACACCGCATCAAAGCCTCAAATCTTGTTGTTCTGCTGCCACATGCATTTACCATGTGTAGCATCACATGACGCAGTAGTGTTTGGGATTTCAGGCTTAAGGCACAAGTCTAGAGATCTTTGTATTTTTTTTTATGTGGATTTAAGTTGGGTGTGTCAGCGTGAAATCGGAATAAAAAAAGAACACATTGACCTCAATGTAAGATATAGACTTCACACTGTAGTTTTATTCTAGAGACATTACTGCCTCAAACTGTTGATGGCACTTTCATTTAACACGGGACGGATATGATTAATTACACAGGAAATAAACTTACAGCGAGAACGTACAAGCATCCTATCATAGTTATGAGTAATACAGACATGTCTTAACATTAAATCATCAAATATTTGTCACTTACCTTTAGGATTTCTCCACGCTTGAAACTAAGCTCATCATCAGCAGTAGCTTTGAAATCGTATTTGGCAATGGCCTCCATGGTTGTTGCTGCGTGCTGGAAAACTGCTTGGCTGTAGTTGTGTTTCAGGGACTGAATAAAAAATAAAAACTCTTATCCACGCTTCTGTGGCCAGATGCTTCTCTCCGAGTCTCTCCTCCCGTCTATGACCCGCTCCTTTAGGGCTTAGACCTCACATAAAGGTTACAGTGAGGTACCTGCAAATAAGAAAGGATGTGGTACTCAATCACGCTGAAATGTGGTGTGGATTCACAACTGCACAAGTTGAGAACGAGAGCGAGAGGGCGCGAATTACACCCAAAAGATGAATTTGGTTCGCTCTGAACCTTCAGAATATCTGGAAAATGCGAATATAATTTCTCATTCAAGTTGTAAGTCAGCACTTGTTTCAGGGCCTCTTAGTTCCGCTCATAAGATGCTATTAGAAGAGGTTTTCCTGTAATCATGATCCAGTTATTTTGTGGTCTAGACATCATGATTTGTTCTCTTAAAGACTTTACAATAGCTAAAATATAGCACATAAGTACTAATGGCAATCTCCAAAGGCAAACCTATATAAAAAAGGATTAGGGCCTATGTGTTCTTGTTGCTGTTCCTCTGGGCACAAGAGGATACTGATGCCAAATGAACTACAATCAATGGCAATTCCTGCAGACTTTCCTGACAGGCAGCCACCTGGCCGACCACAGCGAACTGAAGTCAGTAGCCTACTTAAGCAGAGCTGACAGCGATACACTGGCTAAACCTACAGTTGCTGAGTTAAATGGATAAAGCTACGTTATCTCATTAAGTTGTTTGCTAATATGCTACCGTGCAGCTCTGATGGGTTCACCCTAATAACGTTAGAGCTCTACGCTGAATAAGGCCTTTAAACCGGACAGCTGACCGAAGAACTAACAAACTAATGGCAAATCATCGGTTAATGCTTTAACTTTCGGATTTCATTGCCCCCCCCCCCCAAAA